TTATACTTTTGACTCCCCAACATCAACATCAATAACAAACCCTGATACTATCATAGATATATAATAGTACACTTTAGAAGTTTCAAGTAGGTACCCACGGGCCACGAATAATATTATATAATCACAACAAAATAACTAGGTTTTTTAATATGTAATTTCGTCCAAATTTGAACATAAAATGACTCTAAAAATAAACTGTGATTGTATATTTTTTAGATTTTTCGGTAAGAGAATTAATTACTTACGTGGAATCTTGTTTTTCATTTTCAATCCTTAGCTATAAAAACTGAACATTTTATAATTTATTAATAACGATGATTAATCATTTTCCAGATTTTGAAAAATTCTGTCAAAATTCGATGTTTAAATGCTTATAAAAAAAAATTGTGCCTATGTATTTTTAATATTTTTCAACTGATATTGTAACAATATATAAGGAAATCGATACATGAGAAATCGAGTGAACATCCAATGTTGAAAAATTTGAATTTCAAACGCTCATAAAAATTTAATTTGACTGTCCGGTAGAGATTTTTTTATTGATAAAGGTAGACAAACTTATGAGTAATCTTGTATTACATTTTCAAATCTTAGATTTAAAAAGAAAAATTTTTACGGATTCTTAACTCATTATAATTTGCTAATTTTCGTGATTTTTCCATATTTTGTAAATTTTTGAACTTTAAATGCTTATAAAAAAAAACTGTGACTTACGATTTTTAATATTTTTCATCTGTCTTTGAAACAATATAATAGGAGCCTTCTATTAAATTTTCAACTTTTCGCAAACAACAAATAAAATTTTATTGATATTTTTAGAAAAAAAACTAAAAAAAGATGGAAAATGAAAATGTCCCTAAACAGTTCAAAATAAAACAAAATATTTTGAAAATGTTATCGTGTATACAAAATGCAAATATAAACAACCAGTGAAAATTTCATGTATATACGTTCATTTCTTTTAGAGTTACACCAAAAATCAAAATCGATTTTTTGGAAAACCGATTTTGCGTAAAAATTCCCGTTTTTCCTTAATTTTTATGTTGTTTTTTCCGGTGCTTGTGAAAACTACTGGGAAATTTTTACTTTTGTCCCCCCCCCCCCAAAGTACCAACTAGATTCATTCTCCTATCAGAAAAGATACTGTTGAAGAAAATCCAAGCACTTTTACTGTCCTAAAACGTGATGACAGACACAAAAATAAAAAAAAACACATCATTGTAAAATCAATACATTCATCGTTTCACTCAGAATCTAAAATAGATTAACTTTTTTTAAACTGAGTTAAGTTAATAATTTTTTCTATATGAACTTTTAACTTATCGAGTTAAATTTATAATTTGTTAACTGCTAACTTTTAACTAATCGATCTTGTGTCCTCTTAACTTAATTTAACTTGAGTTAATTATTTTCATTAACTTGCCCACCTTTGTATATATTTATATAGTGTATTATGTCTGAGCTTTCTCAAAATTGTTCTGTTTGACTTATGTTCGCTATAATAGACGTCATCAATGTTATTGCTATGAAATACCATCTAATCATTGCTGCCGGCCCACAGGTCGTATGCTTATAAGCATCGATTATAAATACTAGCATTTATAATCAATGACCAATGTTATAACTTATAAGTTATAAGTTATAGGAACTTATAGGCTATAGCTATTAATTTTGTACCAGTAGTCACTAGTCAGTAGGTAGGTACTATAGGTACTGTACAACTGTACTAGTGTAGTAAAGTGTACTCAATACAAAACAGTAAAAATTTCGTTTTTTCCGTGTACAGGTTTTTCTTTTATACCTACACATACCTATAAGTATAATAATATAGAGATAACATAATTATATCTGGAAGACTGCAGGACTGTTTACTGATAACTGGACAAAAAGCTTCCAGTTCGAAGTTTGTCGGGGACATGATACTCAAATAAGGGACAATCCCGTTTTAAACGGAATGTATGGTCACGTGGTCACAAGACTATATAGGCACACAAGACAGACAATGTAATATATTAATTGGTAACATTTAACGGGCGCGGCCCGTTTCGCCCAAAATCAACCTTTCCCGTTTCGCCCAGATACCCGTTTCGACCAAAGTCATTTTAGTCGTTTTCAAATTAAGTTGGCAATGATTTTTAAATAATATAGTATTTTAGACTTTAGTATACCATATAATATTATGTATTATAATTAACTATAAAAAAAAAAAAATTACATTATATTATAACATATTACTATTTTCAATAAAAACTTTTATTCTAACTCTCCATCAATCATAAGTTGGTAAAATATTATACGCAATGAGATCCAGACAGAAACGTATATCAAAATGAATAGTGTTGAAATTCCCAAAAAAACAAAAGACAGAAAGACGAAGGAAAGACAAGAATACAACGAAAAACGTATACTTTTATATAGATCTGGCGAAATTACTAGGTACGAATTTGTAAAAAGCATGTGTAGAAATTTAAAAAAATAATAGTGTTCGTAAATAGATTTTAATAACTTAACTTAATTTTTATAAAAAAATAATATAATAAATTGTGTAATGCTTTTTTTTTTAAAAAAGTTTTTAGTAGACAATAATATGTGTATAAATGTATAATATTTAGTATGTATTTTTTAAAAACTTTGGCAATGACTACAAAAATAAAAACTGGTAATTTTTATTATAATTTTTAACTGTAAAAATGTATTTTTAAATAATTATACTAAATATTTAAATTGGGAAAATGCCTGTATTGTATGTAAAAAAATAAATAACTGATTATTGAATATAACTTAATTTTAGTAGAAAATAGTAATATGTTATAATATAATGTAATTTTTTTTTTTTAATAGTTAATTATAATACATAATATTATATGGTATACTAAAATACTATATTATTTAAAAATCATTGCCAACTTAATTTGAAAACGACTAAAATGACTTTGGTCGAAACGGGTATCTGGGCGAAACGGGAAAGGTTGAGTTTCGGCGAAACGGGTGCCGCCCCATTTAACAATATAATCTGGAAACAGAACCATTTTACATCATCACTAAAATCATTATGAGAATAACTAAACAAATAAGCACGGCAATTAATTGTTATCCACAAATACCAACGTCCAATACTGAGTCCTTTTAATATTGCATAAACAAATAAACAAATTACAAAATGAATACATCTCTTACAACAGCGAATAGGTCACAAGAAAATCGTAGCAATGGCCTTTATCAAACTCTTAAAAGGGCTACAGAGGTTAGTTTCCAGGTCTGTCTGTACATGTCTGTCATGCTAGTTTTCTACAGTCCACAAGATTAATAGATTTTTTCTTTCATATTTTTTCATCACTCAAGTTATTCTCATATTTTAGCCATAAAGTTCTTTTCACATCAGCTACAGTTTAAGACAAGCCAAACAACAACTCAATAAACACACGGAAGCTATAATTTAACACTTGTAAGTGAGACATATAGTTCATAATCTCCTTAAAACATAATCGCCAAACGCTTACCCTTCTTATTATTAGTAATGCACACTGTTCTGTATAAACAATTACATTGTTGCTTACCTTTATACCTACATTTATTTTAAAAGTATACAATACACATCACAATTATATTCAAAATCCAACATAATATTATATATTACGATATGCGGTATATCTACCTAGTACCTACATTAATTTTATTTTAGCAATTTAAAGAAAAAATAAATTCCAATTTAAAAATATATATGTGCAATATGCTCTTATAATGAGAATATATCAAAATATGCAAAATATGAAAAAACCAAATATCACTGTAGACTCTGGTATTATAAAATAGATTTCTATATCACTAAAGTATGTTTTGAATGAAAATTAGAAAACATGCAAACTCCTCTAAGTCCCCAGCCCTAGACATATATAGAAGATGCCGCGAACATTAAGAAGCTGAGATCCACTGAGCTATAGCCTATTACTATTACCATTCTGTTATGTTTTATATTATTTTCAAATCAAAAAGAAACTATTTAAAAAATGGATCTAATAATTATGGTTGGCTATTGATAATTTTTTTGAATTCCACACTAAATTCTTAAATTATTTGCTTCTGAAAATCGAGGCATATCGGAATTAATATTTATTATTTATCTATATAGAAATTTGGTGGTTAGTAGTTCTTTACTATTAACACGAGGACACAAAAACTTATTATTCCTAACAAACCCATTATCGAGTGCACTTTGTACCTATATTCTTTAAGTGCCATTATGTTTAATTATTCTTTTTAGATTTTTTTGCGATAGCTACATTGAGGTTTTCATACTTTTTTATTATTGTTCTTCTGGGCGCATGTAAACTCCACCGATTGCGACCTTTTTAGACTTTTTTTCATGTAAACTCCACCGGTACGTTTTTTTTACCTGAAAAAAAAAATGTAAACTCCACCGGTACATTTTTTTTACCTGGAAAAAAAATGTAAACTCCACTGGTATGTTTTCTTTAAAATTGTAATCCAAATCCAATCTGATTAACTAAGATTACATAATTTATGTGGGTGCAGTTTTATTATAATATATTTATTGTATTTAAATACAATAATTTAAAAAAAAAATCATATAAAAATCTATAATTATTAACATTACGTTATAGGTAATACGTTCCTACATAATTTATGTACAGATTTATTATTTATATATATTATACTAGCTGATCCCGTGCACTTCGTTTCCCGTTCAATGTACCAACTCTATATGCCTCAAACTGTGTGCTAGTCCTTGACGATTCGTGGAGATCAATTCGAGAGAAAAATTCGTGCGTTTTGGTTGTTTCTTATTGGGTAATACATTTTATTCATTAGTATTATAATTTATAACCCATTTATTTCATTTCACGACTACCAACAGCGTATAAAAAATATGATCTTGATGACTTATACCGTCGTTATGGTTAGATATCGATGACATGCACTAATAATAATATGTATGTTAATGTCAATTTAGTATACGTTCATCCTTTGTTTACTGAAAAATGGCTGACAAAAACGACTTAACTGATGCGATGGGCGCTCTGTCCGTCGACGATACCCGCTGGAAAGAACTCGGATTGGACGACAATATTCGGACACAGCTAAGAAAAATCGAAAATGATTATGAGAGCATATTCTCGTGGAACATCAAACGATTAACAGGAGCCAATCAAAATCTTATGACGAATCTCTTTGAAAATGTTCGAGGACGGCTAGAAATTATCACAGTTTTGGACGGAGAGGACGATAAGTTCAATTTAGCTAGGTAACCATCAGAGATTTATTGACGTAAAACTAATTTTTTCAGTAAATGAACACTCATCAGGTACCTAGTACCCGAATAAATCTTATTAGTTATTGATGTAATATATACTAATATGTATTGTTAAAAACCTACATAGTTGTATTTTATATATATTCATTAAGTAAAACAACTGTGGATGATAGATATAATAAAACAAATTTTATATTTTATAAATCAAATTGTATGCTCTAATATAATTATAAATATAAAATATAAATTAATCATAAATGTAGTTCAATGTCTGGAGTAAAAGTGAAACAATTTTATTTTTAGATTTTATTTACGATTGGTAGCTTGTTATGAACTATACAATAACAAAAGTTATAAGGAATCATATTTGGAAATTGAAAGCGTTGTTAAATTTCTGGAGACTTGTAAATTTGATGAGTCAAACGAACAGTACTCAGATGCTTACCATCATATTGCTCGGGCCACTTATAAGTATATTGGATTAACACTGAAAATTGATTCAGAAAAGCCCGAAAAGGTAATAATTACATTTCTTTTACCTACTATTTACTAATAAGTACAAGTGTTAAACGATTGTATACAATGTAAATACTAAATTAAAATATGTTTTAAATCTACAGGTTACAGGTACCTATAGTCTATACACATTATTTGATATATTTAAATTTAATCTACTTAAACAGTTATTAGTTTACCTTTATGTCACTTATATTTGCAAACCAAAAATATAAATATGGTATACCAAATGGAAATTTAATCAGTACACACTACTTTTACACTATAAGGCAAGCACCTTGCCCAAATGTACTACTTTATGGCATCCCTATCCCTTCATCACCCTCAGTAAAATACCTCGGTCTAACACTCGATCAACGCTTTATAACCCAGGCTCAACATATACGTGAAAAAAGACTATCCCTATAAACAATCGACTACGTATAGGTACTTAAGCATTTAATTGGTAACAAAGCCTCCCCTATTAATATCAAACTCCTCATGTAAAAAAACTAATTAAAACCCATCTGGATATACGGATTGCAGCTACGGGGTAATGCTAAAAAGTCTAATCTGAATAAAATACAAGCTTTCCAAAATATGACCAAAATATTTATAAAAATTGTTCTATTTAAATCTAAGATTTGAAAATGTAATACAAGATTCCTCATAAGTTTGCATACCTTATTATTAACAAAAAATACAACTACAAGCAAATCAAATTACATTTTTAGGAGCGTTTGAAGTTCATATTTTTACAAAATTGGATATTCACTCGATTTCTCATGTAGCGATTTTAGATTCTGAGTGGTGCGTGGAAGCTAGTGGTCTTACAATGGCGTAATTTTATTTTTTATTTATTTTTTATCCTGTATACAAAATTTCTACCAGAAGGAGTTCTTCGATTTCAACATCTTATAGTGCCTTATCTTTTAGCAAATATGATCAAGATGGTACTTTTCGATTTTCCCAATAGTTATTTAATGCCACTGGAAAAACTACAGAAAAATTACGAAAAACCGCTTGAAATGAGATTTTAATTTCTAACGCTTTGTTTATCACCATAGCAACGATTAAAAAATTATAATATTATAATATTAATTCAACTTAAAGTCTATAATAAATAATAAAAATATAAAAAGTCCAGACTGATAAACTGTCTCCGCTCAGAATCGTTTTTCTTGTACAATGATATTTTATCAGTGAATTCAAGTTTAATACAATCCATTATACATTGATTTACGTGTAACCTACTGTACAGCAGAGCGACATCCACTTACCCTGTTTTGTTATTTTGTTGTAATTAAAAATTTTTTTTATAAGCATTTAAAGTTCGAATTTTGACAAAATTTATCAAATTTCAAATTTAATATTTATTTTATAGTAAAAAAATTATAAAATGTTCAAATTTTATATCTAAGGATGAACATTTAAAACAAGGTTCCACGTAAATAGGTTATATATAAACTACTTTATTTACAATAATATCAATTAATATAGGTAAGTACTTAGTAATATACTAATATCATCTGACCATCTTCGATCAGAATTGTTTTTCATATACAATGATATTATATCATTGAATTCAAATGTAACACCATTCATAACAGTGACACACTTGTAACCTACCATACAGCAGAGCGGCACCCATTTGCCCACCTTTGAGGGGGTGATTTTTGATAGAAAATTGGGTGTAATTGGTTTATTGGGATTTGGGAGGTCAAAAGTAAAATTTCTAGTAGTTTTCAAATGCACCAGGATAACAAAACGGGAATTTTTATGCAAAGCCAATTATTGACAAAATCGATATTGTTTTTTTTTTGTAACTCGAAAATGAATAGTCTTAGATACTTAGAAACTTTGAAATTTTGACCAAATATTTTTATTAGAATTTTCTATTCATGTTAACATTTTGAAGCTTTTTGAGCTATATTGATAGACATTTGAAATTTAACATTTAACATTTTTATTTAGTATTTTTCTTCTTATGTCGATAACTGTTTTTTTCGTTCAGTCAAAAATAGTTTGAAAATGTAACAGGTAGGTACACTGCTTACATGTTTTATTATGGTATTTTATAATACCAAAGATAAAGTGTTAACAAAAAAATTTGCAAAATAGAAATCATAAATACAAACAAATAGACATATTGCTAAATAACTTCTTAAAAAAAAAATTTGCTATTCAATTAAAGGTTATTCCGTAATATTTTATTTGGTTTTAAGTGGTTAATTTGGTGTTTGTATTTCATTAATAGGTACCATGGTTATGGTAGAACAGGTTTTGGGTTTTAACTTTTAAGATTGTTATATTTTTTATACAACCGGGTTTTGTATTAATTTGAGTGCTAATATTAAAGTACCTATATACATATATACCAGGGAGGTGGTATTTTACATGTAATTTGCGCAAAATAATTGAGTGTATATAATTTTAACAAACTTAAATCTTAAGGTGGAGATTACCTAAATGATTTTGTATGGAACAATTATATTATACCTACACGGCTACACGTTATTAAATATCTCATAGATAACCAATTCATAAACATTGAAACATTTGTTACCTAAATTATAACCAATACGTTAAAAATATATTAGGTATATATTATAATATTAATTAATGTTATCAATATGACCTATTTTAGTATAAGGTCAGACCGTATTGTACAATATATAAAATTATAATTTATAAATAATAAACAAAATATACAATTATACAATTTATATGGTAAAAGTCATTAAATATTATTAAGCTATAATGTATTTTTCTCTCTTAGTTATTGAAGGATGTTAAACGAATCAAACATTTTAATGAAGCAGAGAAAGGAGTGATTTGTGCGGTTAAAGCCAACATTTTTATGAAGTATCCTCAAAGAGGAAATAATATTGCTTTGAAATTTGCTGAACAAGCCTGTATCAGTTCTACTGAACCCGAGTGGATAAACATTTGGTTAAAAGCCAAAGGACGAGTAAGACGTTATTCCGAACCATTTAAAATGCCAGGGGATGATGAAATAGATGCTGCAAAAATATTATGTTCAACAACAACTAATCCTAAACATTTAATTATAGTTTCTGAACTTTATAAGGAAATAGGATTAGCTAATAAATCTATGAACAGCCATATAGAGTCAACTAAATTTTATAAGCTTTCGTCTTATATTGTTAAGTAAGTAGTTGTTCTGTGTATAATTATCAACTACAATGTATTGATAAATAATGAAAATTACTAATTACCTAGGTAACTTAAAAAGTGTACCTATTATAATTTGTAATTGTATTAAAAATGTTAATATGTTTACTACCTAGGTGTTTCATATGTTCTAAATTTTTTCAAAAAACTACATATACAATCAAAATATAATATCTATTTTTATTTTTATTATTTTATTATTTCCAAGATCCTTTTTTGTTTTCTTTACTTACCTATATAATATACCTAATACCCATTAATTGCTTTAAATTAAAAAATATTGCTTATTTAAGTGTTTTTTTTTTTTTTTTTGATAGAAAATCAATTAAATTGGCCAACGATGATATAAACCAACTAAATTATCTTCTACTGCAGACATGTATAGACTATCCGTATTATTTTCCAAACTCCATTTTAAACAATTTCATTACAAAACTGACAAGTATTAAAAGCAGCTTCGTGGATAAGACTCTAGGCTTATATTATTTAAGACATAAAAAGGTAAGATATTTAAAAGTGTAATGCTATTGGTCATTGGGATTTGGGAGTTAATACAATTATTTAATTTTGTTTTGTTTCAGGATTATGGTAAAGCAAAACATCATTTATCTCTTGGAATGGCAGCTGATCATTTTTATTGTACATTGCAGTTTATAAAAGTAGAGTGCCTCCTACAACCAGCCAATACATTTAATTATATGCAGATCCTAAATACGATGTATAATGATTTTCTAAACCCAAAAAGAAGGCTTACTATTTTATTACATATATTGATGTATTTCAATTACTGTGAAAAAAATCCAAAAGAAACGATGCGCTACCTTAAATTGTACATTGATCAAGACATTGAAGATACTATTAAAAAGTCTCATTTAATTGTAAGCTAATCAAATATAAGTTATTAAATTACATTGCGACTACCTTATTATTGTTGCATAATGGGATGATTACATTTGATGTTTGAATCTAAGCATCTTACCTAAATGTTTTTCAAGTCAATTATTACGTAGATATCTATATCTGATTACCTAATAAACTTTTATTAATGTGAGGTAACTAAAAAGTAGTTAGATAATAGATACCTACATAATTTCATATTTCATATTTCTTAAATTGTAGTTAGCTATATGAATGTTATGATATTTTTATAAGTTGTAGTTGTATTTTCATAATACGGTTTTCTATTTGTATAGTTGGTACTTGGTGTATTCATATTACAAATACCTGTACAGTATACAACATATTAATATAATAGGAATATTATATAGGTACCTAATTATTTATTATACATTTTAAAAATTAATTTAAAGTAAAAAATAAAAGACTTCATTTTTCAATATTATATTATTTGAAAGCAGAATAACTTGTTGAAACGTAAACTGATAGTTATGCATGTTAATAATATTTGATGCTGTATGTATACATATTTCCAAATATTTTTTTTAATATTTTATAATGATATTTATTGATAACTAGAACCAGTAGTACCTACTTATTATTATTTATGATTTCAGTTTTCTCGTTCATTGTTTGATTTAGGCAGAGTTTTAAAACCAAACGAATTTCTGAATGTTCTATTTGTGAATGTAAAAGAACTAGTGTACAATAATAAGTGGGATGAAAAAGAAAAAAATACGGTTGAAAACACATTTTATCGGTTCAATAAAATATTACAATTGAATATTCAAGACAATAATTTTGATAAAACAGCTATGAATAAAAATGAATCTTGGAGAAAACAACGAGTTGATTTGTCAGAAAATAAGTCCAACGAAAGTCATCAATCTGCTTCATAGAACATTAATCAGAACAAGTCTTTAGAAAAACATGTTGCTCTATAATATAGACACGGAACCGTCAACAAATCAACATAAAGTTATTAATAATAATTTTAAATTACAGTAAATGGGTCTAATTAAAGTCATCAACGACAATATACGTTATTCAATACCTGTCGAACCTTGCCGTTAAAATTTGCAAGAAACTAGTAGGTATTATACATTTTAAATCATTATTAATCGTTCAATCTAAAATTGTACAATGGCGTACATCAAACCTGTGGTACTACCTACTATGGTTTTATATTATATAGTCAGTAATCATTATATTAGTTATTCTATCAACTATTTACCTTTTTTTTATATACTCAGCAATATTAATCTTTATTATATGTTGTACATATTACCATTTTAAGTTGATATATATAATGTATATTATAAATAATATTATTTTTAAGTTCAATATTTTGTATACACTATACAGTGTACTGTCTAGACTATATACAGCCACAATTTGAATAAAAAGTTTGTATGTTTATAATAATTAAATTTAGATTTTTTTGTTTATTTGGAGAAAAAAAATGTTGTTTTGACTATTTTGAAAAATGTTTCCAAAAATGTTAATTATAAAGATTAAAGACATGCATTTTTAATGAAAAAATGTGAACGATAACTAGATGTTTCTATTTTAAATGTTATATCCTGAAGCAGAATAAAGAGGATTTGAAAATTATTTAATGTGTAGAAAATTAGAAAATGCTTATTTAATTAATACAGGGTGTAGTGTCCCGTGAGAATATACCTATTAGCTGTAGAGGGGGACTCGCCGCCCGGACAAAAACCGGGTTTTTGCCGTTTTATTACATATAAATTAAAAAGATTATTAAAAATCATGATTAATGAAAATAAAATGTTGAAAAGTCAACATTTTCACAAAAATAAACTCTATTAAACGACTATCTTCAATTATTTCAAAAATAAAAAAAATTTTAACTTTTTTACCAAAAGATTTAATTTAATTAAAAAATAAAATATGTGTTGTCCTTGTCTCTTTAAGTCTAATAAAAAAAAAAAAAAACAGATTTATGATATATTTATTATCTCAGGAGATATCGCAATGGGTAAATCCTCGAGGGATACTCTGTATACCTATAAATACCTAGTACCTACTAAGATTATCTTAGTAAGATGACATATTGACATAATTTCATATCAATATGTACACTCGGTGGCGGCGAAATAGTTTAAAAATACTTGGGCAGTCTAGGTACAAAAAATAAGACAATGCATGTATTCCAAAAATTTCAAGCAGACTTAAGAAAATAGATATTGAAATAGAAATGGCTAATATAAACATTCAGTGAATAAATCAAGTATCTGCAGTTATACATTTTTTTGAGTTACATCAAAAATACAAAATGGATTTTTTAAAAAAAACAGGTTTTGCGTAAAATTTTCAGTTTTTCCTTAATTTTTATTCTGATTGAAGCGTTGAATGTATTGATTTTCACCGATTTGTTTTTTTGTGTATGTTTACACTGTAAGTACTCAAAATAATGCTTGGAATTTCAACTTCAAGATCTTTTCTGGTGGGAAAGTGAATTTAGTTCGTACCTATTTTAGACGTGTAAGAATGGAATATTTCCAGGAGTTTTCAAAAAAATCGGGGAAAAAAATTATGGAAAAAGATTTTGGTAAAAATCAATTTAGTTTTTTTGGTTTGACTAAAAGACCAACAGGCAACAACTGTAGATAATTTAAATATTCACCTGGTGTTTATATTTCCATTTTTTAATCACCATTCAATTTACAAACAATTTCGACTCTTTTTGAGTTATTTATAGGAATACGAATATTTTGATTTTTATTACTTTTTTTTAACTATTGTCGATAAACAATATTTGTCCCTGGGTTCAAAATACATGACATTTTAATATAAGTCTTCTCATAAGTTCTTGTTAGTGGAAATAAAAAAGTTGAGAGTAAATCAACAGTAAAACTTTTTATGAGCGTTTGATGTAGGTTGTAGGTGTTTAGGTAACATTCGTCAAAATCACGAAAACTTGTGAAAATTCATACAAATTTTTCTATTTTTACCTAAGATTTAAAAATTTAATTCAAGATTCTTCTAAAGTTTTCTACCTTTAACAAACAATAAAGTTTACCGGAAATTAAAATCTAATTTTTTATGAACATTTGAAGTTTAAATTTTTTTGACATTGGATTTTCAGCAGTACATTAACGAATTCTCTTCGAATCATTTTCTTACTACTTAATTATAATAACTTATACATTTTAGCATAAAATATAGTATATTGAATATTTGAGTATTCTTATTCTATAATACCTTAAGTACTAGGTATAGTAAAAATAGTGCTAAAATTAAATGCTTAAAGCTATTTACTATTTCGTGATTTCAATATACATTAACAGTACATTACACTTTATAATTTAATTGTAATATACATTATACAATGGTCTATAGTCTATACTCTATATTGATAAATGATAATATTTTTATACCCGTCAGCTGGTTCCATTGTCAACAGCCAAGCTGCTCGGAGTCCGGAGAGCAGATTACTTATTTGACGATACATTTTAATTGGTTTTAGATTTAATAATAATTACTTACATAAATAAATTTACACAAAATAATTTAGAAGTTGTTGCCTGTTCCCAAAATTATTATATTAGGTACTTAGTACCCAGTACCCACACCACGGTCTATGGTCCACCGTCCACGGCTATAACCACCTACCACCCACCACCCAAAGACCCAAAAAATTGGTCGGGCGACTGACACGTGTTCGGCGTCACAACACTATATAAAATAATATTTAATTATAACAATGATTGTCCATTGTTGCACGCTTGACTAAAACTGATTTCTGAGTTACCGACTTCTGAGTTGGTAGGCATTGGCACTTTGGCAGTGAAAAATAATATTATATCATAAATTATAAAATATTATATTAATATTTCTTCACTATATGTGAATACGTGAATTATTATTTTACTATTTGTAGGTTAGATTATTCACTACTATTAGACGTAGTTTAATTATAGTGAGTGGAACTAGTACTCTACCCTCTAGTACCGTAATATTGTCTTATTCTGTGGTAGCAGTTATATCGCCAATTGTTGTCGCTCTGCATCGTGGACAATACAATAGATGTCTATTACAATTTTCTAATTAATCGAATATAGGCTGCCATCGCCCATCGTTGAACGTTTAAATTGAGTGTACAGTGTAATATTACTAAGTAAGTACCTACATTTTAATTTATAGATTAAGGTCGATTCTAAGTCGATGCCAATTTCCAACTGCTCTAGAACCGTCTCACTTTAACCAGTGTCTCACTTAGACAATCAGGCCTCAGATATTCCAGTCACCAGCTGTACCCTGTGTGCATAAAGAAGAACTTACTGTCTATGTGCCGTCTGTTTTTGTTCTCAAAAGTGACGGTACATTGTAACTTATATGTACCTTCAAATATACGTATAAGAATAAAATGTCAATATGATACCGATATATAACTTCTCGCCGTAGCTGTATATGAGAATTCCATATGTAATATCACATAGAAGTTACTATTGAGTAGTTAAAATGATTGATGATATGTGACATAACTGAGAAGTTACAATAGTTATGTATAAATAATTGTTATATATAAAATACATGATGATAACACCCGAATGTGGTTTTTGGACTTTTAAATAATATATAGTATATACATAATAATAATCAATATATTATCACACCCATACAAATTATAATTTTAATAATTATATTATATATCATTTTATTATCTTTTTTAGTTTTTATTTTTTTAGTATCAAGTATCTATAATATTATAGACTATAGAGAAATTATGTTAATCGACAACTATGTATCGTTATGATAGTCTTGAGAGTGTGGCGCGGGTACGGGGTAAATGGGTATAGCCGTATATCGAAAAGAATCGGAACGAAAATAGAATAAGCTGATAACAAAAATAAATTGTGAATTATTGTTTGTTAGCTACATAAAATTATTATTTCTACACTACATTCAATCATTTTAGGTATAAACATTGTGTAATATATGCTAATATCCAATGTTTACAATTCATCATGGTATAATATGTATTTTTGTCTGTTTTCATTTATTCTTAAAAATAATATCGGACCAAATTATATTATATAATACGGCCAGTGCCAACCAACTGACCTGGCCAGTCCACCCTTGATACAGTATATTATGGCCTTTGAAGAATGGAGAGTCCAATAATCTTTGATGCTCTAGTAAATATGTCACCGTCCATAAGTACATAATAATATAATATACATAAATATACAATATATAGGAACAATCATACAATCGTTATTAGTTATTGTTGCAGGTACCACAGAATGGGGGGGGGGGTACGTGGAGTTTACTATTATATACCTTCCGACTGCTTATGTATTTTATATACACCATATTACACTTCGCCATTCATCTCGATAGGTAGTGTCCCAATAGGTTAGGCGTAGGTCAATAAATGTAGGGGTAGCAGGTTCGAATCTTCGTGGATCAATCCACGGACAGGGTAACAGTGAATAAATTTTTTGCTTTTTTTTCCCCTGGACTTTGTGCACTTTATGCGAAGTCTATGCGATATCTCAAACTGATTTCTCATGGAAGTTACAATGTGATGAAACATAGATAATTATTTTGCGACATCTCATGCACTAACTTCTCAAAACCGGGCATTAAGCGTCACAGTAGTGTCTCAGAGTAGTCTCTGAGTCAAAATTATTAACTTCACATGTCTCAATGTGACTAATATGTAATGTCTATGAGAACATATTTTGCACACAGGGATACTTACTGTACCTATTATACATTTATACCCAACGTCCTAACTATACTTTGTCATCAGTTGTAATCATTTCAGTCTTGAGTCTTAACAGCCCCCAAAAAGTGTCCACATTTATCCTGTCGTCTGTCTGCTTTGTATGCCGAAACATGACCGGGTATAAAAATTCCTTGGCTGATGTGAAGGACACTTTGTCTGTCTACGAAGACCACTGGATAAAACTCGGATTGGATAACAACATTAAGACACAGCTAAGGAATATCAAAAATTGTTTTGAAAGCGTTTTCTCTTGGGATATTCATACATTATCAGGATTCAATCAAAGTTTTAAGTTCAACATCATTGATAAGGTTCAAGAAAAGCAAGAAATGATCATAGACATGGATGGCACGGGCAAAGACGATGAATTCGTTTTTTATAGGTAACTGTAAACTATGATTTATTAAATAATTTTTTAAACAAGAGTCATATTTTATAAATCAAATATTGTACGCAGTTACATCATTATAGAGATATAAAATAATTGAAAAATAAATGCAGATAAAATACCTGGAATAATAGTGAAACAAAATATAACAATATTTTTTTAGATTTTTTTTACAATTAATTACTATTCATGAAGATTACATGAACGAAAGATATAAGGAATCATATTTGAATATTGAAAGTATTGTTAAATTTATGGAAACATGTAAATTTGACGAGTCAGACAAACAGTATTCTGATGCATACCATCATATTGCTCGGGCTACCAATGTGTTTATAGCATTAACATTGAAGATTGATTCAGAAAAGGTAAATTTTTATTTGGTACCTTGTTTATCCCAATTTAATTAATTTCATGTTGGGATATAGTTAAATAGTTTTGATAAAATGTAAAGACTATATTATGCTATATATATTAAACCCTGTATTAAACCATGCAATCAACCAATAAACCAATTGAATTAAATAATAATTTTTAATTTTTAGCTTGGTATTTTATCAAAATATAAAAAATAAATCACAAATATAATAATATGATTATAATAACCATTAACAAGTAACAACTATCAATCTCATAAATATCTTCATGAAGTACTGTAATTTATCTCTACCACAATTTAAATAGTAGGTATAATGTAATATGTAATACACTAATACTGTCATAAATTGTGATCACAAATCATTCAGTTGCAAAAAGTATAAAAATAAATATGTCAATTGGTTATTCAGATCGTGGTATTTTATTCAGGTATAAGTTAAATAAAATGTTTGTATTTTATCAACATTGGTTTCACATGTTTCAGGTTTTTGATTTTTATGAACTAATTTGGGTGGTGTGCTTATTAAAATAATTTTAATAAATTAAATCTTAATGCAAAGGTTATATTGTATTAATGATTTTGTTTAGAATTTATTCAAAATAATGTATAATAGATTCATTTAAAACATATTATATCAATAAATTCATCAATATGACCTATTAGTATAGGATGAGACCTGATAATACGTATTAACTTACGTCTGTTTCTCTTTTAGTTACTGAATTATGTTAAACAAATGAACAATTTTAATCAAGCTGAAAAAGCTGCAGTTTGTGCTGTAAAAGCTAGAATTTTTATGGAATATCCTCCAAAAGGAAATGATATTGCTTTAGAATTGGCTGATCGAGCCTGCACCCTTCATTCTGTTGAACCTAAATGGCTACTCATTTGGTTAAAAGCCAAAAAGCGAGTAAGACATCATTATGAACCATTTAAAATGCCAGGGGATGATGAAATTGCTAAAGCTTTATATTTATACGAAACACAAACCAATCCTAAATTTTTAATTCATGCCTATCAACTCTATAAGGAAGCAGGATTTGTTAATAAAATGCACAACAATCTGAAACTATCAAACAAGTATTATAAGCTCTCGTCTGATATTGCCAAGTAAGTAGTGGTTGTATGTCAGTTACAAGGTATTGACAAATGGGTAATGAAAATTAATAATTCTAATTTTAATGTGCCTAACCCGTATAATATTTTATATATAATATGTAGAAAATTATAATTTTTCAAAAAATATTGTTAAAACAATTTCATATTCATATGGTTTTTTGATAGAAAATCAATTGAATTGGCCAAAGATGATACAAAACTACAAAATTCTATATTACTTTATTATTTACATTTTCCTGAATATTTATTGACAAAAGACTTTATAGACAATATAATTACAAAACTCACAAATGTTAAAAATAGTATGGTACATCTAACTATAGGCAGATATTATCTAAACCGCAAAAAGGTATGATATTTAAAAATGTATTGATGGGAGAAAAAATATTATTTATATCTTTATTTTGTTTCAGGATTATGAAAAAGCTAAAATGTATTTCTCTCGTGCAAAGGCTTATGGTAATTTCAATAGTTCATTGCAGTTAATAAAAGTAGATTGCCTGTTACAATCTGTCCATGAATTTCCTTATGTTGTGAAATTAAATGAGTTGTATAAAGATTATCAAAACCCGAAAAATAGGGTTATTATTTTAATACATATATTGATATATTACATTTACTCTGACTATAATCCAAAAGAAATTATGTACTACTTAAAATTATATATTGATCAAGACATTGAAGATAGTATTAAAAAACGTCTATTAATGGTAAGTAAATCATAATAGGTATATAAATTACTTTGTACGTATCAATTCTCCAAAAAAATGCTTACATTTTAAGAGAGTTTCTTACCTTCATGTTTTTCAAGTCTATTATTACGTATCAGGTTATGGAAATGTATATTTTAATAATGTTTCGTCATAACTCATAAGACGTTGGACACTTGGACCTACAATTTCACACTTATTAAACTGTAGTTTTGATATTATTATCAAATATGGGTTTTCATACCATTGTTTTCTGTTTTTGTATTATATTTTGGTATATTAATATTACAAATTATAAGTAATTATAGGGTTGGTAAATTATTTTAATAAACCATTTTTTTTATATTTTCAAATATATTTAATAATAAAAATATGACATACCTAATTATATAAGAATAATTATAATAATAAGAATTAGTTAAAAGTAAAAACAAATAATATATTTTTTACATGTATAGTAGAATAATTTGTTTGAAATTAATGCATGTTAATAGCAGTTGATGCTGTATGTATAAAAATATTCTCAAAAATATTTATTATGTGCTTTATAATGATATTATTATTATTATTTATGATTTCAGTTTGTTCGTCCATTGATTAATGAAGACAAATTATCTATAAAAGCAAACGAATTTCTGAATGTTCTATTTGTGAATGTAAAAAAAATAGTATACAATATTAAGTGGGATGAAGAAGAAAAAAATATGTTTGAAAACACATTTGTTCGGTTCAATAAAATATTACAATTAAATTTTAAACCCGAAAATCATTTTAATAATGATAATAAAACTGCTGTTTATAAAAAAAATGAATCTTGGAGAAAACAACAAGTTGATAAGTCTAATGAAAGTCATCAACGAAACAAAGAATCTTGGCGAAAACCACAAAACTCGTCATCTAACAAATGAGTCATATAAAAATATAATACTGAGGTTCATTCAAACCCAGATTCCACATCAAAATCTGCATAAAATAATTTAAATTGTACAATGCTATGTACTTGTTGTATCTAATAAGTTTTTTTTTACTTTTATTTTCAAATACTCAACAATAATAATCATTTTGTTTTGTTAGCTATATTATGTTGATATTTTCTTGGTATGTGCAAGTTTTGTATACAGTGTATGAGTCAATAGGCCTTAAATACATTTAAATGGTTTCTAATATATGTATTGACAATTATAATAGGATGTTTAAAAAAAATTATATAATTTTTACTGTATTTAAAAAATATTCTAAACCTTGTTTCTTAAAGTGGCAAACATAACATGCACTTTAAATAAGATTATTTTATTAATGAGTGATGACTGCCTATATTTTAAATTTTATTAACTAAAACATAATAAATCGGATTAGCTCAAAAGAGCCAACATTTTATGAAAATTATTTTATATTGTAGCCAAAATTCTAAATTGAATGTGTAGGTATTTGATTAAAAAGCCAAATGTTTGACAAACCAGTGAATGAACTAGTGTTCATTCATTGGATGTCATAAAAATGCCCTCTAACCAGTGAATGAACATAATAATATGTTAATTTATTGAATTTTGTAATATACATCCAGTAAATGAACATTAATTTTATTTGAAAAAGTTTTCACTATTCTTATTTTATTTTTGATTATGAAGATACACAAATGTCAGCAAATTGCATAGTTACTGTCTTTATTAAATACATTTTTTTTTTAAATCAAGTTAAATTTATTCATTTGTAGGTACCAGTTGAAACATGAATAACTCTGAAACACAGGCTGAGAATGATGTGTTGAGAAAAGACTTATGTAAGATTCCAGTACACCGAGATTGATTTACAAAATGCAGTCTACTCTATTATTAATAGTAGAAAAGTTACTAAATCAAGTTCATGAAGAAACAGCTAATTATCCCAAAATCTACACTTCATAATAAAGTAAACAATAAAGTACCTATGTGTTATAAAATGGGTCCTCAAAGTACATTAACACAGTTTGAGGGGAATAAAATTGCTAATTGGATTTTACCTAAGGCTTAAGTCGGTTTCCCTGGACACCCAGAAAATGTTAAAGACTATACAAAATGTGTTAAAAGATTTGAAAAGAGAAAATCCTTTCAGTAACAATTTTTTTTTAAGATGTATTTGATTTAAGTAATTGAAGTTTTAAACACTATTATTAGGTTATTTAAAAGTATTTAATTTATGCTGAAGTTTTAACAGATTTCTATTTTTAATTTAAATAAAAAAACATAAAATACATGTAAAATTATACTTGCCCATCTTACTAAATCATTATCTTAATAACTTTAAATGAGTTGCGTTCAGTTATGTCAGAGGCAATACAATAAAATAAAATTAGACAATTATTATTAAAAAAGCTTAATAAAATAACTGGTAAATGGAAAATAAATTAAGTGTTTATTTACAGGTACATGAGTGTTACATTCACTAAAACATATTTTGTTCATTTACTGGTTTTTAAAACCAAATAATTAAAATTCATGCTTAAGTTAAATTTAGATTTCATAAAAACATTATTTGACAGACCTTCTTTAGTAGAAACTCCATATAAGTAGTAAGTATAAGTCCCTAACGCCAAATTATTAGTATATAATGTGAAAAACTTCTTAAGTGCTCATTTACTGGTGCTGTTTTGTTGTTAAAAGTAGACAAACTTATGAGGAACCTTTCAATACATTTGTATGAGTTTCTAATTCAAAATAATTTACAAATTTTTGTGATTTAGAAGAATTTTGTTAAAATTCTTACTTCAGTTACACATAAAAAAAAGGTGGGTAAGTGGATGTCGCTCTGCTGTACAGTAGGTTACAAGTGGGTCACTGTATAATGGATGCTTTTAAATTTGAATTCAATGATACAATATCATTGTATAAGAAAAACGATTCTGAGCGAAGACGGTATGTCAGTCTAGGTTTAAGACAAATTATATACATATCTATGGTATTAAAAAAAAAAAATTACTTATAATAAATTCCAAATTAATCATATCACATTATCACAATATCCATTAGGTACTTATAACATGTTATACATCAACATCAATAACAAACCCTGATACTATCATAGATATATAATAGTACGCTTTAGAAGTTTCAAGTAGGTACCCACGAATAATATTATATAATAACAACAAAATAACTAGGTTTTTTAATATGTAATTTCGTCCAAATTTGAACATAAAATGACTATAAAAATAAACTGTGATTGTATATTTTTTATATTTTTCGGTAAGAGAATTAATTACTTACGTGGAATCTTGTTTTTCATTTTCAATCCTTAGCTATAAAAACTGAACATTTTATAATTTATTAATAACGATGATTAATCATTTTCCAGATTTTGAAAAATTCTGTCAAAATTCGATGTTTAAATGCTTATAAAAAAAAATTGTGCCTATGTATTTTTAATATTTTTCAACTGATATTGTAACAATATATCAGGAGCCTTGTATTCAATTTGTACACTTTTTGGCCCAACAGATAAAACTTTATTAAAAAAACTAAAAAAATTGAAAAAGGAAAATATCCGTAAACAGCTCAAAAAGAGTCAAAATATTTTCAAAATTGTATGGTGTATAGGAAATGCTAATATAAACATTCAGTGAAATTTTCATCTATAGTTATTCGTTTATGAATAACAACAAAATAAGGAAATCGCTACATGAGAATACGAGTGAACATCCAATGTTGTAAAAATTTGAATTTCAAACGCTCATAAAAATTTAATTTGACTGTCCGGTAGAGATTTTTTTATTGATAAAGGTAGACAAACTTATGAGTAATATTGTATTAGATTTTCAAATCTTAGATTTAAAAAGAAAAATTTTTACGAATTCTTAACTCAAAATAATTTGCTAATTTTCGTGATTTTTCCATATTTTGTCAATTTTTTAACTTTAAATGCTTATAAAAAAAAACTGTGACTAACGATTTTTAATATTTTTCATCTGCCTTTGAAACAATATACTAGGAGCCTTCTATTAAATTTTCAAGTTTTTTTAACAAACAAATAAAATTTTATTGATATTTCTAGAAAAAAAACTAAAAAAAAATGAAAAATGAAAATGTCCCTAAACTGTTCAAAATAAATCAAAATATTTTAAAAATGTTATCGTGTATAGAAAATGCAAATATAAACAACCAGTGAAAATTTCATGTATCTACGGTCATTTGTTTTAAAGTTACACCAAAAACCAAATTCAATTTTCTGAAAAATCGATTTTGCGTAAAAATTCCCGTTTTTCCTTAATTTTTCTTTTGTTTTTCTTGGCGCTTTTGAAAAGTACTGGGAATTTTAAATTTTGACCTCCCCAATGCACCAACGATATTCACTTTCCAATCGAACAAGATACTGAAGTCGAAAATCGAAGCATTATTTCGACTACGTCTTATCGTGTACACAGACACAAAAAAAATAAAAAAAAAAACACACATCATTGTAAAATCAATACATTCATCGTTTCACTCAGAATCTAAAATATTGTGTATTTACTCTAAACTTTTTTTTTATTTCCACCAACAAAAATGAATGAGGAACCTTAATATGTATTAAATTTTTAAGTTTTTTGACAGCAAACATTTTTTTGTAGACATAAAAATACTAACAAAAATCGAAAATATTATATGCTTATAAATAGCTCAACATGAGTCAAAATATTTTGAAAATTTTACGGTGTGTAGAAAATGAAATTATTTTTTTCTTTTTTTATTGGTAAACAAGAATATATACAATCTGTAATATACAATACAATAAGTAATAGGGGGAGTACAGTTTACAGGACGGGATGGCATGAAAGAAGGGAGGGGGGTCCAAAATTCTAAGCAATTTTTTTTTTCTTTATTAAGTGTGAAGGAGGTACCTGGGCCAATTTCGTTTGAGACGGTGAGGTGGGTTATTAGGAAGAGTAAGAGAGGAGAGGTTTGAAATTAGAGGATTTGAGTGATTGAAAGTGTTTATGTGGAATGATTTATAGTAATGGACGGCAAGTGTATGAATGGTTGGGATTTTGAGGTCAGAGTGGAGGGATAGATTGCTGACGTACCAGGGGGCTTCTGTGATGAGGCGAAGGCAAATTGACTGAAATGCTTGGAAAATTTTTATATTTGATATTTCGGCCGTACCCCAAAGCTGAATACAGTATAGGTTATTGATGGACGAATAATTTTTTTGTAAATTAAGAGTTTGATGTTGAGTGGAAGATTTGATTTGAGGAGGTGTCTAAGTTTATGGAGTTAACAATATAGTAGGAGCCTTGTATTAAATTTTCAAGCTTTTTTACCCAACAAATAAAGTTTTATTGACATTCATAAAAAAAAAAAGGTGCTCTGCTGTACAGTAGGTTACAAGTGGCCAGTGGGTCACTGTATAATGGATGGTATTAAATTTGAATTCAATGATATAATATCATTGTATAAGAAAAACGTTTCGACTTTATGTCAATCTAGGTATAAGACATATTATATACATATCTATGGTATTAAAAAAAAATTGACCTAAATAGGTAAATATAATAAATTCCAAATTAATCATATCACAATATCCATTAGGTATTTATAACGCGTTACACATCAATAACAAACCGTGATACTATCATAGATATATAATAGTACACTTAAGAAGTTTCAAGTACCCACGAATAATATTATACAATCACACAAAATAACTTAAATAGTTATTCTAGGTTTTTATTAATATGCAATTTCGTCCAAATTTGAATTTAAAATGACTATAAAAATAAACTGTGAGTGTGTATTTTATAGATTTTTTGGTAACAGAATTAACTACTTACATGGAATCTTGTTTTAAATTTTCAATCCTTTGCTATACAAGTTGAACATTTTATAAATTTTTAACTACAAAATAATTATTCAATTTTAAATTTGATAAATGTTGTCAAAATTTGATCTTTAAATTACACTTTTTGGCCCAACAGATAAAACTTTATTCATATTCATAGAAAAAAAAAAATTAAAACTGACTATGCCCGTAAACAGCTCAAAAAGCTTCAAAATATTTTGAAAAATTTATCTAGTATAAGAATTGATAATACAAACATTCAGTGAAATTTTCATGTATCAACAATTATTCGTTTTTGAAGTACAACAAAATAAGAAAATCGTTACCTACATGAGAAATCGATGAATAACAAATTTTGTAAAAATATGAATTTAAAATGCTCACTTTCACTTTCCGGTAGATATTTTTTTGGGATAAAGGTAGATAATCTTATAAGGAATCTTGTATTACATTTTAAAATCATTGATTTAAAAAGAAAAGTTTTTACGAATTCATAACTCAAAATAGTTTGTCTTCTATTAAATTTTCAAGCTTTTTTAACCAACAAATAAAATTTTGTTGATATTTTTAGAAAATGAACTAAAAAAAAATTAAAAATTAAAATGTTCTTAAACAGTTCAAAACAAATCATAATATTTTGAAAATTTTATCGTGTATAGAAAATGGAAATATAAGCAACCAGTGAAAATTTCATGTATCTACGGTCATTTGTTTTAAAGTTACACCAAAAACCAAAATCGATTTTGGGTGAAAATTCCCGTTTTTCCTTAATTTTTCTTTTGTTTTTCACGGCGCTTTTGAAAATGACTGGGAATTTTAAATGTTGACCTCCCCAATACACCAACTATATTCACTTTCCAATCGAACAAGATACTGAAGTTGAAAATCGAAGCATTATTTCGACTACTTATCGTGTACACAGACACAAAGATTAAAAATATACATCATTATAAAATCAATACATTCATCATTCCACTCAGAATCTAAAAATTTAATTATCAATCACAAAACTAGAAACCTAGTAAAACTATTTGGTATTGCAATTTTAATGGGTGATCATCCTATCAAAATATAGTCTATGTATATCATATTATTTCTATATATTATAATAATTTGTAATCATAATATTACGTTTATTAAAAATAAATAATAAACATTTTTGTAGTTAAATGTACTCTGCTACTACTTATATTTCAGCAGTAGTCATATCGGCATTAAAGAATATGAAAAAAATAATAACAACAATAAATAATAATAATGACAATAATTTGGCTATAGACGCCTATAGTTACATATCAATTTAAATAATATAAATATTTGTCGTTAATTAATATATCATGTTACAATATTATATAGTTTAGCAGTAGTCATATCAGCATTAAAAAATGAGAAAAAAAATAACAATAATATTATGATTTATGGCTATGGTTAAATTGCAGTTTACTTATTCTTTTGTTTAATAGTCTGGGGAATCATTTCATTTGAAATTCTTGTGGGGTATAATTTACGCGTTACCTATCTATAAATGTATATCAAATATAGGTCTAATGAAAGATGTAAATATTACACATTCTATATGCGTCTGTAATTAGTATACATAAGATCGTGGACGTTATAGATTTATACATATTATCATAGACATATAGACTGTATGTTATTGCTGGGATGTAACCTTTTCCTTCACAAAACACAGTAGGTACACACTACAAACACATATACAGACTACAGTCAGTCTACAGAGTACAATATACCAACTAACATGTTCGTCCCCGCATACCTCTAAATATAAATATATTCACAAACAAATAGACACAGAGTATGTGTATTGTGTAATTATAAAGGGAATTGGCCCTAATAAAATATAATAATGGTTAAACGGGCAGCAACCGGGCACCAATTGAATATACCAGCCCGATTTAAAAATCAGACCAGGGGCAAACGCCCCAGCCCCCCCCCCCACAAAAAATAATTAAAATCGTTATTCTTTATTATTAATATGAAATTTGAACTTACAATAATTAAAAAAAACTATAATATACTTTTATATTTTTTGGTTACAGAACGTGTAACCTTGTTTTTTAATTTTTAATCCTTAGCTATAAAATTTGAACATTTTACCTATACCTTTTTAATTATAATATTTCAAAATGTTTGGAAAATTGTATGGTGTATAGAAAATACTAATATTCAGTGAAAATTTCATGTAGGTATCTACGATAATTTTTTTAGAGTTACACCAAATGGCAAATACCAAAATCTATTTTGTCAAAAACCAATTTTGCTTAAAAATTTCAATAATTTTTTTTAATTTTATCCCGGCAATTTTGATAACTTCTGGGAATATATTTTCACCTCACGAATGTTCCAACTAGATTCACTTTCCCACCCTGGGGCGGATTTATAAGGACACTGAAAACTATGTGGCCGCATAGTTGTAGGTATAGAAATGATTTTTTTAGGATGGCAAATTTTTATATTTGACATAGGGGAAATGTTAAATCCACCCCTGTTCCCACCGGAAAAGATACTGATGTTGTACCTAATACCTATACATGCATGCATAATTAGATATATGCAGTGGCGTAGACAAGGGGGGGTGTGGTCAGATCCCTCATTGGCTTTTTATTACCTAAGTAAAAAGTTTTGAGAGGGTGGGGGATTTTCCAATTTTTCCCCTCCCATTAGCTATGTCGTTTTTTTTTATCCCCTTCCTTTCAGAAATCATGTCTACTGGATATATGTGCGGTAAGCCATATGCGTATATGGCACGTGTACGTACTATGTAGCATACGAATGTGTTGACTAAGGGTATATCGAGTGTGAGACCAAATCGGTTCTCACAATGGTAACTATTCTAGCTTGGTCAGCACATTCCAAAGGCTCCGGACACGTTGGGTGGCGAGGCAGTCCCTTTCAGTCGATCGAGTGATAAATGCGTGACTGCAGGTCAGAACTTCAATTACCATTTCTTATTCCGAGCATCCATATTTGCGTTCAGACTCTCTAATATTTGTAATATTAATAATACGTTTATTTTATAAGAATCTATTGTGTATTCAAAATTCATTATACGTCAATAAATAATAAATTGACAACTATATTAATATTTGCAAGTGCGTGTTACTTAATTTTTATAATTAGTTACATCAATAGTCGAATTGACTTACGATTTGACACCACACTTCACCACACTTCACTGAAGGTTGAAATCGAAGCATTATATCGACTACTCATCGTGTAAATAGTAAAAATAAAACATAATTGTAAAATCAATACATTCCTCGCTTCGCATTCATCTCTAATCTAAAATAATATAACAATAATATCCAATAACTGATGGCTCCTTTCAAAAATTGCAGGGGCAGCCCAGGCATGTTAGGCTGCCACCGTAAACGCTTATATGTAGTTATAATATACTATAGCCAGTTTTTTTTTTTGCATACCTACGGCTGTAATGATTTTAATAGCAGCCACCGTTCCAATTGTTACACATGCACTAATAATATTTATGATAATGTCGATTTAGTACACTCGTCCTTACATCACTCAATAATGGCTGGATGTGACGAAAGCGACTTGCCTGATGCGATGGGCGCTTTGTCCGTTGTCAATGATTGCGGGACAGACCTCGGATTGGACGACAACATAGGGACACAGCGTAGCAAAATTGAAAATGATTATGAAAGCATTTTCTCGTGGGACATCCAACGATTAACAGGAGTTAAGTTGAGCCGGATCAGTAAGGTTCGGGATAAGCTGGAAATTATCACAGACATGGAAGAAAATAATGATGTATTCAAATTCAATAGGTAGGTACCTAACTATCAAAAATTTAATTGTATAGGTGTAATTTTGTTGATAAAGTATAAACGAACATCAGTAACTCATAGGTTCCTACTAGTTACTACCATTGAATATGAATACTAATATTCACAACCAATACTACCACTATACTTATTATGTAGTATGTACAGTAATAAAATATCTTATTAAGTATTAGGTAGAGCCTTGATGTATAAAATATACTATATACTATAAACATTAGTCATAAAGGCTCTCTATTATTAGGTATTTATTGGTATAAATGTGGGACAAACGTAAATTGTTCCCAATAAATTAAAAAAATTGGAAATTGCTCCCAGTGGAGATTAATACTCAAACATCCCTGGCTGACCTGGCTACGCCACTGACTATAATAAAACAAATTTAATATTTTATAAATTAAATTGAATGCTGTATGTACTAGTATCATTAGAGGTATAAAATATAAATGTATCTAGTTAAATATCTATAGTAAAAGTAAAATAATGTTAAATTTTTTAGATTTTATTTACAATTAATAGCCTGTTATGAACTATACATTAGCAAAAGTTTCAAAGAATCATATTTTGAAATTGAAATGGTTGTTAAGTTTATGGAGACATGTAAATTGGACGAATCAAAAAAAGAAGAACAGTACTTTGATGCTTACTACCATATTGCTCTGGCCACCATTGCGTATATTGGATTAACACTGAAAATTGATTCAAAAAAGGTAAATTTTAATTATTATTTAAAATGTATAAATCTATAGAAAGTAAATGTTTCATTCAGGTTTAAGATTTTTAATGAATTTTATTAAATTGATTTGATTTGAGAGTTGATTTGGGTATATAATATATAATATATATACATATATTATAATTGGGAGATGGCATTTTGTGCCAATTTAATTTAAGTACTTGTAACTTGTCCCACCTATATGGCTATATGTACATTATTCATAAACTTAATCTTAAAGTGGAGATTACCTATTATAAATGATTTTAAATGAAACATGTACCTATGCAAATATGCAATAATGTATCATTAAAGATCTTTCAGATCCAATTCAGCAAACATTAATTGTTACCTAAATAACCACTATGTTTAAATATACTTATGTATGTAATTTATACATTATATAAATTAATATTTATCAATATTGCCTATTTTATAGGATAAATATATATAATTATTATATAATAATTAATGTAATTTATTTTTCTCCTTTAGTTGCTAAATGATATTAAACAAATCAACAATTTTAATAGTGCTGAGAAAGCTGCAATTTGTGCGGTTAAAGCCAGAGTTTTTATGGAATATTCTCCAAAAGGAAACGATATTGCTTTAAATTTTGCTGATCAAGCCCGCGCCCTTCATCCTACTGAACCTGAATTGATAATCATTTGGTTAAAAGCCAAAGGGAGAGTAAGACGTTATTACGATCCAACTGAAATTCCAGGGGATGATGAAATAGAAGCTGCAGAAAGTGTATGCTCAATAAAATCAAACTCCAAACTTATATTTGAAGCTTCTCAAATATATAAGGAAGTTGGATATATTTATAAAACAAAAAAAAACTATAAAGAATCAAATAAATTTTTTAAGCTTTCGTTTGATATTGCTAAGTAAGTAGTTGTTCTGTGTAAGTATCTACTAAAAGGTATTGAAAATTAATAATTACTTAAAAATCATACTATATAGTTAATAATATGACCCCCATAATATGTTCTAAATATTATAGTTTTTGAAAAAACTAATTTTTAACCATTAATCAATAAACCAAATTTATTTTTATTTTTATTATTTTGCCCACAATCCCTTTTAGTTTTATTTACATATTAATTTGTGATTTATTTATTAAGAGGGCGTGGCACCCTCATAATAATATGCTGTCACAGTCTTACACACGTACAACATAGCAAATTTTACACTCAGCAGATCACGTTTAGCTCCGTTAGTAAAAATGAGAGTGAATTGACCATTTATAAAATTTAAAAGTGAGATATCGTCCACTATCTCAAATAATTTAGTTGATATTAACCTACATTCATGTACACTGAGCATTAACGATGTTCTGAATGAATTTGATATCATTAATAATAAAAAGAGTCCAGGTCTAGATATGTTATCTAATTGTTTCTTTATAGAATGCAAATTTGTTTTGGCTGTTCCATTACTACTCTTATTTAATTTATCTCTTTCTTCAGGTTACTTTCCTTCAAACTGGAAAATTAGCCATGTTACACCAATCAAAAAAAGGAAATGATTTTTCTAATATACTTAATTATCGTCCGATTTCCTTGATTTCTATTATTCCTAAAATATTCGTCATTCGAATCCTTAGTATCAAAAATAATTTTCCGATACTTACACCAGTAGTAAACGATGATCAACATTGATTTATAAAGGGAAAATCAACAACGACAAATTTATTAACTTTTCAAACATTTATTCTTGATGCTTTTGCCTCAGGATGCCAAGTAGACATAATAAATACTGATTTTTCTAAAGCCTTTGATAAAGTAAATCATTCCTTTCTCTCTGAAAAACTTCATTCTATTGGAATTCGCGATCCAATTTTATCATGGCTTATTTCATATATCACCAACAGAAAACAGATTGTCAAAGTTAAAAACTTTATTTCGGAACCATTTAATATTCTATCTGGCGTTCTACAAGGTTCTCATTTAGCTCCATTGCTTTTTATATTATTTATTAATGATATACATTTTAATGATTCTCAAAAACTTCTAATTGCCGATGATTTGAAATTATTTTGAGTAATAAAGTCACTCAGATTTTGTATTGTTACAGAACGACTTCATTTGCTTATCAATTTTTTGTAAAAAAAAAACAAATTAATGTTAAATGTTGATAAATGTTGATAAATGTAAAGTAATGACTTTCTCCAGGTCTCATAATCCAGTTATTCATAATTATTATTTAGATAATGTTCTATGCATAATCGGGTGGTTGAAAATCTAGATTTAGGTATTACGTTTAGTTCTAATCTTACTTTCAATAAACATTATCTGACTATTTCTAAAAAAATTATCATCTTTACTAGGATTCATTTGTAGGACATATAAAAATTGTACTAATCCCTTTACTCTTAAGGCATTATATTTTCACTAGTACGTTCTATTCTAGAATATAATTCGATTATCCGGTCGCCCTCTGTAAATACCCATATCTAATGCCTTGAAGATGTACAAAATCTCTTCCATCGCTTTATATTGTGGTATACAAGTACAATATCTCGTGTCAATATCATCAACCATATTATAAGCCTTTATTAGACACTTTAAATATGACTAGCCTCGCAACCAGGAGAAATATAATTGATTTAAAGTTCCTACATAAAGTGGTAAACGGTATCATTAATCCTAGTGAATTACTAAATTATCTTAATTTCCATGTCCCTCAATGTCAAACAAGATCTACTAATACTTTTTGTACTCAATTACATAGAACTAATTACTTAATAAATGCTCCTATTAATAGAATGAGGTTAGCTAATGATACACCTGTCGATTTATTTAATTTTAACTCTATCGAGTCTTTATAGTTATCCCTGTGTGCAAAATATAATCTCTGAGATGTTACATAGTCCTCTCATTAAGTAGTGAGATGTACAAGTTTGGAGCCTAGAGATGTCTCAGAGACTCTTATATGACGCTTAATGTCCAGACACGCGAAGTTACTGCATGCGATGTCGCACAACAATGGTCCATGTGAGGTCTCACACTAACTTCCATAGGCTATCTGGTTGCGATACATGGAACTACTCATTTTCAGCGCATCGACTTCGCATAGAATTCGCAAAATTAATGTTCACGAAAAAATAAAAAGTGACCACCGCTGCCGACGGCAGATGAGTTTTTTTCGTCGAAGGCGGATTTGAACCCTAGACCCCTAGCTTCCTACACCTACGCCTAACCTACTGGGACACACTACTTAGATATTTCGATTGCCATATTATGGTGTATTTAAAATCAGTCAATAGGCACTCGTTCTGTACTCTGTACATGGTACCTACCTAAACATTAAAATGGAAATGCAATATGCATTAAAATATTTACGTACTTTTTCGCATTGCCGCGATACAACCTTATATATATAAAAAATTGTTTCATTTAATGTTATTCATATTAATTGTTATTTGTTAACTATACAAAGGTAGATAAATAAAATAAAAACAAGTCGTAAACAATTTAATTTGAACTCAAATATAAATATACCTTATATCTATAATCTATATACTTATAATAATACAATATACCTACTTACTATTCAAACACAAATTGAATCTGATACAATAAAATACATTTTGTTAGGTAGGTACTAGGTAGGTAGATAATTTAGTAGTTATATTGTTAATTAAAAAATGCAGGTTTATAAATGTAGGTATAGGTAAAATAGAATAGGTACTTGAAATTTAAAACATTTTGTCATATTTATGTATTAAAATTAATATGAGTAGAGGTATAAATTACATTTGATTATATAGGTACCTATAGCTAACTATAGATATTATTATAAAAAATAAAAATAAACAACAAATTATCTGGGTAATTGATTTAGATAATATTATAATATATTATATGAACATGTTAATATTAAAAAAAATATATATATTATAATATAGTAGTAATAGACAATACCTTTTATAAATTCTATAAAATATATTATGATGAGTGAAGTAATGCCATAGCTATATATTTACAAGTATCTATTGGTGTTACAAAGCATTTATGTTTCAAACTTTTTAAATTGATTATGATTGGTTGAACTTTTGGAATAATTTCATTGATATAAAATATTTTTGTTAAATCTGAGGTTGATGGATAGTCAAACATGGGTGAATAATTAAATTTAATTGCTTCGATTTTAATCTCACCATTAAAATATTTTACTATTTTGGTAACTTCAACTATATCATTATTTTGCAACATAAAATATTTATCTCTAACACTTTTTGAACTTATCACAAATTTTTCTAATGTAACTTGCTCATACAAAGTTTCAGTTAATGAATTATTTAAATTATAATTACATTTTAATTCTCGTTTTAATATTGGATATGCAAGAGGTATAGTTTTAATTTGAACGTTCATTTTTTCTATGATGCGATTATATGCATCTTGAAGAGGAAATCTATCATTTTTACAACTTTTTTTTAAAAACTGTAAATAGTTTTCGTACTTAAATGCACTGAATAAATCTAAATGTCCATGTTTTAGAACAAAATCAGCTACATGTATCAAACCATGAACATTATATCCAACATATCCTTCACCATAATAAGATCCATATTCACGTACAAATCTTTTTAACATGTCTTTAGCCAAACTGTTATGAGTATGACAATTTTCTGAACAAATAAGAAGTCTAATAGCATAGTTTAAAAGCATGAAATGTTTAAATAGAGGTTTTTTCAATCTCCCTTTTAACACAATAGGACCCGTATAAAGAAGGAAAGTGCGAAATTCCGTTGCCTTCCAATGTTCACATTCTTCAAGTGATCTGGGCAAGCGATTAAATTCTGATGGTAAATGACATTTAAGATTAATCAATTCTTCTGAAACAGTATTTGGATCTACTAAACGAACAGATTTGTTACCTTTCACCCAAAATACAATTAGCTTCTTCATTACCCCTAAACAAATATTATGCATATATTCAAGTACAACTGTAGATGTTATATCAATTGGAAATTCTTCTAAGGGGCTTGAGTCTTTGTGATAAAATGAATCCTGTTTATCTCGAAAAGATTGATTTGATCTTAAAGGGGCATTTAAATCTAGGTAGGCCATCCTTTTATTATCAATATATGTTCCTTCAACAATACAGGAGTTACACCCATGATAGGCGTTATGACCTTTTACGTTTAAAATAAATGATTTTGCCGGTGCATCGCACACAACTTGACTAATTTCAAATGTTATTAATTTATTTTTTATACATATTCCATTTGTTAAAATCATTTTCATTTCAGAAGTAAAATATTGTAAAAATTCATGACTAGATGACGGTTTTTTATACTTGCCATGATAAATACCCACCGGTATTACAATACTAAATAATTGAGGAATATTTACAAAGCTTAAAAGAATTGGCCAAAAACTTGATTTTGAACTTGATGTTAGAGGAAATCCATCAATATTAAACCCAAGTTGTATTAATGTATTTTGTTCAATAAAACCAAGATTCGCAGTTAAGATTTTAGTTAACATAAATTCTACCCCAAGGTGTATATATGATCCAGGGTGAATACTTATTATGCTATGTTCATGAGCTTTAGGTGTTTTCAATAATGTCCTGGCATCTTTAGGCAATTTTAATCCTTCTGATCTCAAAATTGACAAAAGTGAATTAACACAGTTATGAGAAACATGATAATCACTTATCCACTGTTGTAATTTTTGTTTTAATGGATTTTCATCAACAGAGTAATTATCATTTAAGTTATTACTAATAATATTATTAGAATCACTAACTTTAGAACTATCTACATTAGAGAAGTTATCAAATGAAACTAGTGATGATGAATTACATGCAATTGGTATTTGTAAGCCCATGTTTGAAAAATCATTTAAATTGTCTGTTGTTGAGTTCATTTCAGGTTCTTGTAACCTGATATAAGTGTTTGTAATTTGATTATCGCATGATAGTTGATTTGATATAATATCACTTTGAATGTAGCGTGAAAAATGCCTTTTTGTAGTAGAATGTATAGCTTTCCTTTTTCGGAACTAAAATTCAAAGGTTAATTATAATATAAATAGAGAATACATCTATTAGAATAAAAACAAATAAATACCTAATTAACAGCTATAAATTGTAATAATTCTTTTTATCATTATACCTATTTAGTATTTGGTTAATATTGTAACAAGCCTTGAGGACCTTTGATTCTAAAAATAATTTTACCATTCTTGTCCTATGTATAGGTCATGTCCAATTTCCCTTTTTAATCTGGTTTTAACACCATCATATGTTTTTTTAAACTGATAATAGCCATCTCTGCTTTGGTCAATGATCTTATTCTACCTATTCAATTCTTGTGTCTTGTTTAGTACTTATTTGTATACATGATTAAAGATAGATCTATCTTTAATCGTGTTTTTATATAATATACCTATTTAACTAGATTTGAAGCATATTTTGTTTAGGCAACGAATGGGTTAAAACTTTAAAATAGGTTAAATTCAAATATTTTAACAAACACACTATTAGTATAATATTATTTTAAGTAATTGCAAATCATGTTATATCTAACAAAAATATAATTTATAATATAATCACTTCTTCTTTATTATAAACAAACATGTACAAATTGTAACAAAGTAAATTATTGTACAGTCCTTAAAAAAAAATAAAAAATAATTAACATCTCTGTTAAAGTATAAAATAAAATAATGTCTTCTTTATAATAATAATTATATATATAAAAAAAAAAATGCAAATTAACTATTTCAAATTTTAGTTTTCCTTTTTTGAAAAAATAAATAAAATAAAATTAATACCTTTTAATGTAATAAATACTTAAATATGTAATGCTTATGAAGATTATTTTTGTTGTTCTCTGGTATATCTTTGAGAGCCATGACGGAACCAATCTTTAGTATGTGCTTCGAAATTAGCTTCAGTCTCAGAAAAAGTACTAATGGCAACATCTAATAATGATACAACATAGTGAGTTTTGTAAACAATAACATTGACAAAAATAAATATTTGTATATAAATAACCTTTCATGATTTTCATAATTTTCAAATTTTTTAGCGCGTTGTTATCTTTAAAACCTGTCCATGAATATTTTGTGGATAGTTGATTAGTAAATAATCTTTCCAACACCCTTTTAATAAAATTTTTAAGACCTGTGCCCCCGATTTGTAGCAGGAAATTTTTCTATAAAAATAACATAATAAATAAATAATTATTTAATTTACTTAAATATTATTATAATATATAAATACCAATTGAACAGCAGTGTTTTCATCCAGATTTAATTTATTTTCCATGTCCTCCACAGCTTCTACGTTTTTAAATGGAAATATTTTTTCAAAGACATTATTTGCAGTTAAATTTGTTTTTATATTTGGATTAGTTTGAATAAATGAATCTATTTTGCTGTCCAACCGTTTTACATATGCAAGTATAGAAATTACATTTTTAAACACATTTTGCATCATATTGTCATCATACTTATTAATTGACTCTTCTTGATTTTCTGTTTGTATGTCTAAATTATAAATTATTTTACTAATAATTGTAAAGCCTATATTTTGGAAAAATAAAACAACTGTATGTTTTAAATAACAAATATAACACATACTTGACATGGAATGATCCACACTTGGAATGTTAAATTCATTCAAAGTCACAGGCAATTCTTTTTCGACGGTATAACATTCAGTATCATACTGAAAAGTGTCCATAGATGCTAAACATATTTAATACTGATTGTTATCATCAGTAAATTATAAGTAAATTTAATACATACAAGAAATAAAGTTGATGGGCAATAACTGATTGGAAAATTGGTTGTTTTGCAGTTCGATATAGTTTGAAGATCCACTTTGTTGTAAGTCCACTGTGTGGTTTGATTTTAACACTTTTATTGGAGTTGTATGTGTACTACTACAAGCTGTAATGCAAAAATTAGTATATTTAAAAAATAAGTACTAAGTAGATAATATGTAAAATGTACCTATGCATAATTTAACAATTTTGGAAAATTAAAATAATATAACTTACCACTGTCACTATCTTCTACGGTTTGTACAGGATAAGCCTTTTTCTTCTTCTTTTTTTTTCCTGGGCTTTCAGATTCTGACGCAGACAAGAATAATTCTTTTTCTTTTAATTTAGCATCTTCAAATTTGTCTATAGTTTACAAAATAAAAAATTGTTAAACAAAGGAGTACCTATATTAAATATAATTTAACTAATAAATAGAAATAGCACATAGCACATAATAATATTATCTATATGTTATGTTTCTCACTAACTTAATTATATTTTAAAAAGAAATTTGACATGAATTAATAAACATTTAAAAGTTAGAACCTTTTTAGCCAATAAGACACTCATAACATAAATATTAAATTATGACATACGTAAAGACATATGTAAAGACTGGTAGGAAAGTATTAGTTGAAAATATAACAATTTATTTTTGCTTGGTAAGCAAATTACTACTGCTTTGAACATAAAATTGTATAATAAGCATTTCTTCTTCTTATCGTGTCCGAGCTATGATATAGATGCTTTGTTAATTGTTTATCATACTCCTAAAGAATAATCATTTAATGGTTAGCATGCTAACAGCATGCTAATTACTTACTGAAAATTTGTGAAACTATTTTCACTGGGAATGTTGGCCAATCTAGCTCTGGATCACTTGCTTCGGTAATCATTGTGTTTACTATGCCAGATATTGGCCACTTAGATAAGTTAACATTACCGCAGTTTAAAATCCAAGTGAATGGAATCACCGAATATTTATTTTCTTTTGTAAAATATCCTACGACCCACTGCGAAATTACAAAACATGCATTCAACTTATAAATACAAAATTATAAGGGTTAGGTGATCTAATTGGTAGGTACCTACTTAAGTAATTCAATTTGAAAATTATCAATAATCAATTGGTTATTCATATTTCCTGTTAACTTAATACCCAATCTAACTTGAATTTAGTAAAACATTAAAACATAAGGTATATTTCTGATATTTAAGCAATTGTAAGCTTTTAAGTCCGAGAGAAAAAAAAGAAAATGTACAATCATTTCAACCATTCAATTTTGTGTAAGATATATACTAGCTATATGAATACATAAATTATACATCCGTCATCCATAAGTAGGTAATGGCTAATTAGGTACCTACAATTTACTATTAAATTACTATGCTATCTGTATCTGCAAGTAATAACTTAGTTAGGTATAGGTTGCAAGAGTCAAAAAATAAATATGAATAAAACAATGAATGATGATATTATATATATAAATAGTTAGATTTACAAATACTACTATAAATAGGTAGGTATATGATACAATTGTCAATTATTACAATTTAGCTGTTTTTCTAATTTATTGGTAATTTAATATGACGTAAGAAATAATTTAAAATTAGTAGGTATTTTTTCAAATATGTTGAAATTGAAATTAGTAAGTTTTATTTTAGTAAGTAGGTAGTTTACTTATTTTAAAAATAAAATAAATGATCTGGTTATAATTTATATCACCTACCTGTTTAGGCGACATTGTAGGTTCAACACAACAACACTGAACACAATATGGAACAGTAGAACAATTAAAAAAACGCAGCTTTCAATAAACAATTTTATAAGTTATAGTATAATTACTAATAAGTATGAGGATGGCGTTGTCACGTGGTTGCGTTAGCAAAAACAAAGTTGTAGTGGACAATGGACACTGGACAGAAAACGTATAAGTTATAACCGATGCCGAACTGCGATAATAAAAATGATAACTGATGATAAGTGTCTTTGAACTAGCTGGATATCCCGACGATAACTATTTCGTTATGTTTTTATAATTTCTATTTATAGATAACATTTTCATACATATCTTCGATATCTCAGAGACCTCGCATTGTAACAATTTAAAATCATAATGTTGTTACATCTATAAGTAATCGCATAGTACACCTATCCCAGTAATAGCATGGTTACAATTTCTATGTAATATAACAAATGACAGTCGCATAGAACTCTATTTGTGACATCGCTAAGTTAAAACTATACAACTGTTATTTTAATATAGTCTCTTAAACATATCGTAGAAGTATTTTTGTGATATCACATTTGAGACTACTAAAATACAATCGCATAGAAGTCAAAATCACATTATTGCACACAGGGATATTATTAATTATTACATGTGAATTATTTATCAATATTATAAACCTTATTTATGTTAATTACTGTTATTATTAATCTCAATTAATTATTCGCTATTTTGTACATCTAATATCTATTAATCTCACTCTGTTCACTTTTTCTTTCTATCTGTTAAATTATTTTGCTATAGGTACCTAATGTTTAATTTAAAACTATTACTGAGCTTTACCTGTTTGAATTAATAAAATAAAATAAAACAAAATAATAATTGTACCTTTAAATTGTATAAGAGGTCAATTCACTCTAATTATTAAACTAATGGGGCTAAACGTGATATACTGAGAGTATAATTTTCCATGTAGTTCGTTTGTATGACTGGGACAAAATATGTGGGTGCCAAGTCCTCTTAAATAATTGATTAATTACATGGGTTTTTGATAGGAGATCCATTGAATTGGCAATAGATGATACCAAACAACTTTGTTATATTCTACTGACATGTGTATACTTTCCTAAAGAATTATTTCCAAAATCTATTATGGACAATGTAGTTACAAAACTATCTAATTTTAAAAATAGTCAAGTGGATCATACTCTAGGCATGTATTATTTAAAATATGAAAAAGTAAGATATTAAAAAATATTATTGGAAGAAAAAAAATTTTACAATATTTTGTTTTGTTTCAGAATTATGTGAAAGCAAAATTTCATTTATCTCGTGGCATGGCTGCTGGTCGATTTAATACTGCATTGCAGTTAATAAAAGTAGAGTGCCGTTTACAACCAGTCAATGAGTTTTCTTATGTGCAAAAACTAAATGAGATGTATGAAAATTTTCTAAGCCCACTGAGAAGTCTTAAAATTTTATTACATATATTGATATATTACAATTACTGTGAAAAAAATCCAAAAGAAATGATGCGCTACCTTAAATTGTTCATTGAACAAGATATTGAAGATACTTTTAAAAAACGAATTTTGTTTGTAAGTAAATCAAATATAAATTACTTTGTACCTAAAGAATCCAAGGGATGATTAACTTTTTTGGGTGCTTCTTAGATTCATATTTTTTATGGTAATTATTACGTACAACAAATTATGCAATTTATCATTTAAATAATGTTCAGTAAGATACACAATTTCACACTTCTTAAATATTTGTAGTTTTGAAATTCTTATAAAATGTGAGTGTATTTTCATACTATAATTTTCTGTTTATATAGTTGGTATATTAATATTTCAAATGGTTAGTAATTAGAAGATATAGTTATTTCAATTTTAAACACAATTTTTTTTTTTTATATCACAACAAACCTCAGTTAAAAAAAGGTATTACATAATTAAACATTTTATGATTTAATTAAAAGTCAAAATAGAATTAATCTATCATTTATATTATTTTGAAGCTGAATAATTTGTTGAAACTTATTCATGTTAATAATATTTGATTCTGTATTGCTGTGTGTATAAATAATTTCTAAATATATATGTATTAATTAAACTAATTTTGATTTCAGTTTGCTTGTCCATTTGTTAATGTATACAGATTTTTAAAACCGAATGAATTTCTGAATGATCTATCTGTGAATCTTAAAAAAATAATGAACAATAATGAAGAAAAACACACATTTGCTAGATTCAATAAAATACTAAAAGCAAATATTAATAACCTCGATATTCATAAAAGAAATGAATCTTGGCGAAAACAACCAGTTGATTTGTCAAAAAATGTTTCTACTAAAAGTCATCAATAAAAATCTGCTTAAAAATGTATTAACAAGAAAAAGTCTCATAATATTGAGAGTTAGTTAATGCATTTAGCATTATTTAATATATTCTGTTGAACCTTGACATTAAGATTTGCATAAAACTAATATTTATTTATTTATTTATTTATTTATTTACGGAGAAAAAAAACTCCATTTACAAAAAGTATGTACAAATATAACAGTTATAACATAATTTCATAGAGAAAAGAAAGTTTTTACAGTATGTGATAATTAATTTGTATATAATAAAAAGTAAAATTAATAATAATATAATAATAATAACAATAATCTCGTAGTATAAAGATTGGTAATATTATGAAAATTTAAATTAAACCATATATCTGTTTAATATCATTATTACTACAGTAAAATAAATCTAAATTGGCAAAATTACCTAATGACATTAACATATTTGCTGGTGAATTTAGAGAATAATTTGTTTTTGTATTTCGTAAGAAAAATAAATTATTATTTCTCGTGTTTTTTGGGTTGGTATTAAAATTTAGATTCTCTAATAAAAATTTGCAATCAATTTCATCATTAAGTAGTTTGAATAAAAAATTTAAATTCAAGTAGTTTCTACGGGTTTTTAGGGGAATCATATCAAAAAATCCTAAAACTCCATTATTGTACGATATAATGACATAAATCGTACCTATTTTACCTACTATTTACCTACTTATTTATATTATATACCTATGTAGTCGATATATTACTATTAGTTATTCAATTACCTATTTAAATCATTTTTACATACTCAGCAGTATATATTAATCAATAATAATTATAATATATTTTTACTTTCAACTTTTTTATGTATTTTATATATTTTTTAATTCATTAATTTAAGTGGTTTATATTTTATAATTATGAAAGTAAGATTATATTTAGTAGTTAAAATAAAAAATTAATAAAAATCGAAAATATCTCATGGGTATCAATAGCTTAACTTTCCAGTGAACTTTTTCTTTTTGATAGAAGTAGTAAAATTTGTTGGAAACCGTGTATTAAAATTTCTAACGTTAGCTATGAAAAGAAAAACGTTTATAATTAAATCATAGATTCAAAACGGTTTGAACATTTTACCATGTATGGAGATGCTAATATAAATATTTGGTGAACATTTCATGAATCTTCGGATATTTGTTTTGGAAATACAGCAAATTAACGATTTATCTCTGGATATAAAATATCATACAAATTATAATGTATAACGTTCATAAAAAATATATGTTCCCTTTGAGTATACTTTTTTGTTGTTGTTACTTATAGGTAGAAAACTTATATGAAATCTTCTATTAAAATGTTTTATCTTAGCTATGAAAAAAAAACTTTTATACATTTCTAACTTAAAAATAATTTACAAAATTTAAAAAAAATGTCACATGTCAATAAATAGCTCAAAAAAAGTCAACATTTTTTGAAATTTTTGTATGGAAAATTGTGAAATGTGAAAATTTGAAGTATCTAGGAATATTCAGCGACTGCTCCGAGAGATGTTAAATCGTGGACACGCACGGATATGTTTGTGTTACAGTTCAAGTGTTGAATTCCATTATTTTATGAAATAACTAGGTAGGTAGTTCATGAATTGATGAATTACCTGCAAATGTTAGTTACAGTATGAAATCATACCTATATGAAAATTATACATTAACTAGTTATTCTATACAATTTTAGTTTGCTACACGTTAAAGTATAAAATACATTAAAAAATGTAACATATTATGTTATAATATTTTATTTATTTTAAATTGAATTAATTATTTAATTGTACACGCAA